TCTGGCGTGAAATTAAAATTTTGCCGCGCAACACAACACAAGCGAACTAAACAACAGCGGCGAGGTAGATTGGCAAATAAGCAAGCCACTGCTGTATACCACACAGCTTATCAGCATACTTATAGAGGCAGTGTGGGAAAAACATAAATTTAGACACAAAAATGAAAATGCGCAACAAAGACACACATACCAATGCATAATAACACATAGCGACACATGTTTGTCTATATGTATGTATATATCCACTCCCACACCAAAAAATATACCTTCGCGGAATTTTATGCGTTTCGTTTATTGTGCTCTGTTTGTAATAGCAGCAGTAGCTAACAGGCAACTGCGATAAGCAAAAAAAAATTCTGCGAAAAAGAAAAGTCCTTCACTTGACAGTTTGTTGTTATGTTAAGTGGTTGTTGTAGTACATAAGTTGCTTTTTGGCTAAGTGTTCTAATATGCGTTTATGGAAACTGTTGCTTGTCCTTTAACATTATTATTACTACTATATAGTAGTTATGTTTCTTGTTTTCTTAGATAAGTTATTGAATTTTTGCTTTTTTGTTTCTTCTTGTTCCAAATTTCAATAATAGAAACATGCATTTTTATATATCATTTAATGATATAACCTTAAAAAGTGATTTTAAGAGAGTGTAGTTAAAATTGTTCAAGGCAACCATATTTCAGTAAAATTTTGTTCAATATAGATCTAGAATATATTTTCTACTGCTTCAGACTAGGATCTCACTGGCTTGCCTCGTTCCCACCAAAAGTCATTAACTGTAAATTTTTTCTTACAATGGAATAAAGCTTTTATTTTGCAACAACAACTAAGTCATTTTTAGACTTTTTGTGTAACTTAGAGTCCTTTTAGCTCAAGCGATATTTAACTCGAAAAGTCGAAAGAAAAGCATAAACTTTTTCTAAGACCCTTAAACGTACGTAGAGAAGAAAAATAGGGTTAAAAAAAAAAATAAAAGTTATTTTTAATTAAATATGCCCAAACTCTATTTCCATTATATAATTTTTGCCGGGAATAATGTCATTAGGCTGCAAATTCTATAAATAAAATATTTAAAAAATTTATTTTTAAAAATATTTTCTTTCCTTTTACAATTACATACTATTTTTAATTACATAATATCAAAAAAGCAATATTGAAAAAAAACTATGTGAAGTTCATAATAAGAGTTTCTTATAAAAATGAGATGGCGAACCTTTTTTTTTTATATACTTTTAACTAATTATTTAGTAAAAAGCAAAAGTAATAACACAAAAAATATTTTTTTTTTTCAAAATAAAAATTATTTGATCAAATGA